TCAATAATTGATATACATCTGTAATGATCCATTATTTTTCTTTACAAATAAAATTGGAGCTGCTATTGGAGATTTGAAATGTCATATGAAGTTCTTGGCAAGATTTTTTTTAATAAATTCCTTGAATTCAAGTAACTCATTTTGTAATAAACTATAAATTGGTCAAAATGGCAGTTGAGTTCTTTCTTGAAGATCAATTGAACAATCATAGGCATGATGTTTTGATAGAATATTTGTATTTTCTTTCTCAAATACATCTTGAAAATCTTGATATTGGCTTAATTTGCTACTTGAAGTCTTTCCAGGATTAGAAACAAGTGTATTATAAATGACATAAAATAATCCTTTGTTTGTAGCATATAAAAAAGCTCTTCTACCTACAAATATAAGTTTAATTATATTAGACTTATGACTTTTTATTTGATCAATTATACTCTTAGTTATACTTTCAAAAAAGTGAAGACTATAAGAAATTCAATTTATTTTTGGATTATATTTTTCTAGCCAAAATAAACCTAAAATGATTGGATTAGAAAGAGATCTAATAACATTAAATATTACAAAGCTACTATGACCATTAGTTATTATTTATATAAGAAAGATTTTATGAGTAACATTTTTTTAAGTCAATAGATGTCTATCTATGACTTCCACCTAAACTTGTTTATTTTTTTTTATTAAAGATATGCTATGTCTTTTAGCAAATTCTTCATCTAAGAAACATACTACGGTCCTAAATCTAATAATGTAGAGGCTTTGTGATGTTTAGGTCCTAAAATAATATTTATTGTAAAACAAAGTCAAGATTTTGAGGAGAAAATAGGACCTTCACTAGGTATTATAAAAGGTTCTAGTTACACAATCCCTATTGTAGCTAGATAAACTTATTTTTTAACATATTATCTTCTTTGATAGTTTTACACCTCCTATTATATTTGCATCACTTCTTTGGATAATGTAAAATAGTGTACTTAAGTTCTCCATAATATAAGCATAATCCTTCTTCATAATGACAAGTCTTTTCTTATTCAGTAAGAAATTTGAAACATATCATATCAATTTGCATATTTTCTACTTCGAAATATATGTATTAAAAAGACATTAGTATTTTCATTGAATTATAATAACCTTGAGGTGCACTTGTATGACTCTCAAATAAAAATTCAAAAATTTAATTAAGACATCTTATAGTAAAGTCAATTACTTGACTCAATGTTTGAGGATCAAGTAAGTTGAAAATCAATTTTTTTACCTCATATTGTAATCTGTAGAGAAATTGGATAATAAGAGCACCATCATTTTACTTAATATTAATTACAAGTTGCTAAAATTATGAAGCATATGACGTTACCAATCAATTGCCTTATCACAAAATATAGATCATATTAGTTGCAACATGAATTGCATCATGTTCTCCATACATGGATCAAAACTTTATTAAAAAAGCCTCTAGATTATCCAATATTAGATCTTGTCATTTAAAAAAAGATAAAAATTATGATAATGCTAAAGTAAAAGAAGTGTATCAATAAATCTAACTTGCAATCCTATAATTTTATAGCTTTGAAGTTGAATTTCAATCACAAATTATACTTGATTAATAAATCCTCAAAACTTAGATCTTGTGCCATCAAACTTCTTGAACAATACAATCTTTGATTCTTTAATATTAGAAGGATGTTCTATTATAGAAAAAGAGACATGATTTGGTGTAGATGTTGAAGCAACTCCAATCATCTCTATGTCTTCACTTTCTACTATTCTTGTTGCTTTTGGTGGTAATAAATTGAATTGATACATCACGAGCATTAACTCTCTCAATTGCTTTTTCATTTGTATCATTGCACACTTTATTTCAAGAAGCTATGCTATGATAACACTTAAAGAAGGGAAGATGTCTAATATTACTCAAGACAAATAGAAGAAAAGACTTAAAAACAAAGAAAAAATACTAAAGATAATATCAATTTAAAAGAGAATAATCCACAACTCCTAATACGCTTAAGTCTTATTAAGAAAAAATGATAATCCATTCTAAATTAAGAAAAGACAAAGCTTTGATATTGTAAGTATACTCTTGTGAATTTATTAAAGACAAGAACTTAATGAAAGCAAATAAACAAGTGACATTCTTTCAAAAAAATATGACAAAATAGAAATAGAGAAGTATGTATATTAAAAAGAAAATTAGAATGGCTATTGCCAAAAGACAAGGAAGCTAGAGACTCTTAAAACTAGACTAGAAGCAAAAAAGGAATTGATAAGAGTGGAGAAGGCTTTGTTCTTACTTCTACAGATATTATCTACCTATGATCTATGTAGTGACATTCTATAGGACCTCCAAAAATGTGTTGACTTTAAATAACACATATCTTAACTTGCAAGGTAAGTTTTCTATATGGAAGCCACAAAGTTAACTTATTCCACAAACTACTAACACGTATGGTATATGGTTAGCTTATTGACCAAGTTTTTAACCTATCAATCAATTACAAACAAATATAAAGTCAAAACAACATCTAAAAAGCTTTTAAGAAGCTTTTCTAAAAGATATTATAAAATTAATCTACTTTTACTTACTTCTATTTATTTATATTATCTAAATAATAATTATAGTAGATATATATCTATGATACAATTCTAGCATTTGTAATACTATTTCTATTTGTTTTAGAACATTCTGCATTATCTCCTCAATGTTCTTTCTATTTATAAATCCTACAAGTACTAGACTTATTAATCTTAGGTTTTTTTTTCATTATTGATGGTACTTCTTTAAGACTTGCATTTCACTTACATGCACTGCTAAAGCAAAAAATAGAGAATTAGTCTTTTCCTTTCTTTGCATCTCTTCTTCAATAAGAACAAATTCTATTACTTCTTCTATTTTTTTTATTTTTTATTTTTTATATAAAATTGATAGAATAAGGAGATTCTACAATTTTGGTAATGCAATAGGTATAAGAAATATCATGCTCTATTTTCCCATTTCACTACTAACTTCAATATATTGATCTCTAAGATCAAAAATCTCTAGTAGCTCTAATAAGGCTCCAATGGCTCTTGTATAGTTCTAATAGCTCCTCGGCTTCAACAATGTTCCAATGGCAATAGAGTTTTGGCAGCAAGTAGATCATTTAAGTTTTCATCTACTAAAAATATCTATTTTTTATCCAAACTTTATCCAATGATATTCATTCAGAGCACTCTTTATTCAACTTTGATACCATGTAATAAAAATAGGATGTATTATAAAAACATGGTAGATATCATTTATTGCAAACAAAATATATAAAAAGCCAAGAAAATGGTACTTTTTGTGTTTTACATAAGAGCTAGATAAGTCATAGCTTTTGATAAATAAAATATGAGGCATTCAACACTTATGAACTCAATTTTTCAATAGCTTCTAAAATGATGCTTTTACTAAAGGTGACTCTAATACATGAATCATGTATTACTAAAATGAGCTTGTGTCAAGTCTATACCTGCCCATTATCATAATAATTCTTTCTTATTCTAATCCAATTCATCTCCCTCACTGCTTTTCTTTAGCTATAGATACCACCTACTTTTCACAATCTTATTAGTAATTCTTAAATCTACTCCTCTGCTCAAATCATCAACTACAACTGAATTCTATGCTTTAGCTTACAAATTCATAATAATGCTAATTTGTAGAAATCACCTTAATAAAGAAGCTCTTGCAAATGATACCCTTTGTCCTTGAAGAAAGTTGGAGGCTCTCAATATCCTTCAATATCCTTCAAGCCATATTCCAACTATCAATCATATGGATGGATGTGTACTTTGAAAAATGGTATATCATGTAGTATTTCTTGCAAAGGTGTCATGTTGGATTAGGTCAGCCATCAAGTAGAAGTAATTTGAATGTTTGTTTAAGGTCTTAAAAAGTAAATGTATACAAAATTGGAATTTCATGAAATTAAACCATAAAATAATATAAAATAAAACAAAAAAATATCATATAAAAAGATATAGTTGACATGGAATAAAAAAGAAATATATATTTTAATTAGGTGTTTGTGTATTTTTTGAATTAAAGAAAGAATTAAATGAAATAATATAAAAATGATTATAAAAGGTAAATTGTATGCAGTTTTTAGTATTTTATACTTAATGATACACTAGTAAAAATGAATATTTTTCAGACACATTTTCAAAAGAATATTTTTACACTTAAAATATATTTTAGTTGAAGGCATGTTGTGCAATGAATCAGAAATTATTATGGAATTGTTGAAAAGTAATTAAATATTACAAACAAACATACCATTTCATGCACAATGTAGAAGATGCACGAACTGTTTCTCATTGAAATGCTTAGAAAAGGCGTAAACATGGATTAAAAGAGGAGGTTGAAATGATGGTCAATTCATCAATTTCAGGCACAAATATATCCAATATACGACAGTGGAGTCTACCCACTATTTCATTTGTGTTCCAGCACCTACTAAACAATATGCTACTTCCATGCTAGTAACCGAAAGATGATGTTTCATCACAACTCATGTTGGTACAAACCAGTTAATTTTATTCCAATGTGGCAACTAAAGACTGAATTCATTAACAGTTATAAGTAAAAAATTGTCAAAAATATAGAATGACAAAGGACAACAGACCACATTCATCGGATGGATGTGCGGGGCAGCCATAACGAAAAGCGCACCGAGTGTGCCTTGGAGGCTGCTCCCGAACCAGCACTGAGGAGAAACAGAGAATGGTGGCCAGGCGGTGCGTCCAAGTGGCAGGCATGGGAACGCGCGACGCATTGCAAGTTCCCACCCGCGTCCCCCATCGGCATCCCCCCATCCACGAGTTCATCCATCCATGAGCTAGATGATGACGAGAGTCAAAACAGTCTTGGGAGCCCATGCAGCAGCTGCGGGCAGCGGGCGGGGCACCGTCTTCTCGTTCTCCGTTCCCGATCCCGTTCCCTTCCCTATGCCCCTTCGTCCCATTCCATGCCACGGGCCTTTGCAGAGTGAGTAGCCACGGTGACGACGGGGCAGCGCCTGCGATGCGGTTCTGCTGCAACGTAGCTCCTCTCCTGGCCTCCTCCTTCTTCTTCTCCCCTCCGCAGCACTCTCCCTCCAATCAACACCTCGTCGCCTCCCTCCTCCTGCTTTCTGTTTCCCTCTGCAACGTGCTGCTCAGCATGGCGCCAATTCGTACTGCATCCTCGGCATCCAGCCACCTTGCTGTTCTTTTTTATCTCTAGGTCGCCACCTCGCCTTCCGGTCAGCCCCTACGAAGCCCCCCGCCTTGATCCGAATGCTTTTGCACGAACTCCACTTCACGAGCCGCTCTTTTGCTCGGTATCAGAAACCGAGGAAAGCTATAAACTGTGAGTCCTGGTTGATGGGTGTTGTCCAGGTGATTGAGCTTGCATTGTGTGCGTCGTCGATTGCTGCTGTAGATCGTTTTCGTATTGTGGTCTAAATTGCAGCGTGACTGTGTTCCGCTGGAGGAGTAAAGGGGGTGTATGTCGTGAAGACGGGGAGTGGTTGTGACAAAGATGGCATCGGATCAATCAGGCGGTGTGTTCCAGCCGCAGGACGTTCCTACCGAATTCACACTGCTGAAGAATCCAGAGCAGCTGGAGACGCCCACTGTCGATGTTAAACCTCGTCAGGATGAGAATCTCACGATGCGCGCTGTAGAGTTCCACGCCAAGATGCAAACATTCGCTCTTCCTTCTCTTACATTTCGGTGACTCTGTTCAACAATCTGTATCACTGCTTTACCGTGGTTGCCTGGAGCTACAATTCAGCGAGATACTGCGATTACCAGTCAACCATGAATGATTTACCTTCAACGAGCTCAATTGTGCTTAATTGAGGATTTTCAATTTTTCTTCATGCAGAAAGACATGCGGGTTTTCGAGCGACCCAAGTGCAGCGTCACAGATCCTGTAAGTTTACTTCATTCTGTTTTGCAAAGTGGGTTTTGGTCTCCATTTAATTTGTAGGCTTCCATGCATTTCTATGTTCATTTTCGGTAGCCCCGAATCTGCTTGGAATTCTATCATTGTTTTCGAACCTCGCCATGATGTGCGATTTTAGAGAGCAGCCTCATCAGAACAAAAATTTGAACATTTACAATGCTTTTTACTCCATCTTCTCAGGCGGATGTGGTCCTCAAAGTGACAACCACCTTCATTTGTGGCTCGGACCTTCACATGTACTGCGGGTATATGCCCGGCATGAAGAGTGGGGACGTTGTTGGCCATGAGTTTATGGGAATTATTGATGAGGTCGGTCCGGGAGTGAAGAATTTTAAGAAAGGTAGGAACTTAACCCTCTAATTTTAGGGAAGCGTATGAAAATTGGTTCCATTAATTACAAAAGCCATATCCGCTAATCTGTATACATATGTGGAGCGTTTGCGTAGGTGATCGCGTTGTAGCGTCGGCCCTGATTGCCTGCTTTAATTGCTGGGCCTGCAAGGAACAGAGCTTCTCTCTTTGCGAGACGACCAATCCTAGTAAGGAAACTAGTGTGGCATGTGGGGACAGGTACAAAGAATGGCGGCGTTTGGAAACCCTTTCTATTCATCAATTTCCTGGTCATATTTGTGGCTCAACAGTTTTCAGTCGCTAGCTACTAATTCACATCTTTTGTGTCAACTGTGGCTATTCACAGGACTGGAGGGATTTACGGATATTGTCACCTCACCGGTGGCTACGATGGTGGTCAAGCGGAATACGTTCGAGTTCCGATGGGTGAGAAGCGCAAGAGATAACCTTGAAATCTTTTATGGCTTTCTTTTTTGAGAGGAATTATTTCAGATGATTCCTTAGTCACAATCTTACCGATCTCTTCAGTGATTACTGACGACGCACATTTGACTTGCTTGTTACAGCCGATAATAACCTGCTACTGGTACCAGACGGTCTTAAAGACGAGCAAGTCATTTTCCTCTCCGATATTCTGCCCACTGGGTGGCACGCCAACGAACTGGCCCGCGTGGGTGAAGGAGACAACGTGGCCATCTGGGGTTGTGGTCCAGGTTCGCAGCACTGCCCGCCCTACTATGTCAGTATCTATCCAGTTAACCCCGTTTCCTGACAAAAATGTTTACTCTTAATCTTACACTGGAATTTCACAAAACTGATGGATTTTGTTGCAATTCAGTTGGAATGATGGCAGCTACCAGCGCATTTAACAGAGGTGCGAATCGCGTAGTCGTAATCGACAGTCAGCAATATCGACTCGACTTCCTGAAGTCGAATCTTCCCAAAGTGGAGACCATCAATCGCAACGACAAGAAGGTCTATTCTGCTTTGCGGGACTTGTTCCCCCATGGCCCAGACGTTGCTATTGAAGCTGCTGGGTTCCATTACGTGCCAAACCCTCTTCACAAAGTGGAGGTTGCTGTCGGGATGGAGACCTACACCTCAGAGATCATCAACGAGCTCATTTACTGCGTTCGTAAGGGAGGTCGTATTGGTATTGTAGGCGACTACATTACCTATTGCAAGTGAGTGTAGAACCTTCTGGCTTTTCTCGTTTAGCATTCGCTGTTTTGTTCTTCTGGTTTCGAATTGCATGGCGATAAAATAACACAATTACATGATTAACCTGTAGTCACTTCAACCTGGGAGCTTTCATGGAGAAGGGCCTCACCATGGCTGCTGGTCAAGTGTACATCCATAAGTACTGGTAAGAAGCTTAGATCGCATCATCCAATTCAGTTTCGGCAGGTTTATTATTCATTTGAACGCTATTTACTTTAGAGCGCTGAGAATTTGTGACTGCATCTACGCAGGCCGACTTTGTTATCCAAGATTGAATCTGGAGAGATTGATCCATCCTTCGTCATCACTCACACACTGCCACTTGGAGAAGCACCCAAGGGATACCAGATTTTTGACGACAAGGTTGAAGGATGCGTAAAGGTAGAACAATCGACTCATTGAGCACTCCCCTTTTCTTTCCACTTGTAAACACCATGTTAATGTTAATTTAATGGTTGAAGTTTTAAAAAGTTGGTCGAAATGATGCACAGCATTTTGTTCGCAAACAGGGCTTCCAAGATGATAAAAAGCCGTAGAGCTGGATCCGTGCAAAAGCAGCCTGCACACGGCTTAATAGTAGAGAATCGTAAATAAAGTACTCATCCACTAGAAGTCCATATACGATGAAAGTGGTCGTAATTATTGACTGCTGACCAAGACATGAAACTTAGTTTCAAAACGGCGAAAAGGCATTTGCGGTAACATGCTCCAACGAAAACGAAAGCTGCCTTAATGTACACTATTTGGAAAGATGAGGGCACGTTCAGCCAACTTTCCAAATCATCTTATCATTTTCCACCACAAACGAACCGGTGATGATCATCAATTACCCTGTAGAGTGAAAATATACAACCGACTTCCTGGGCAATCACATCTGAAGCTGGTAAGCGATAGGTAGCCTTCACCTAATACACGTGCGATACGGATTTTCATTTACCGAAAGAAATATGAGCTCTACATAAGTAAGCACTTCCGACTTGAACCGCAACCAATTTCAACATTTTTTATCACTGTAATTGATGTTACATATGAAAACGGTTTTGGCTACCACACCTACATAATTCAGCAATCGTGAGAAAGGACGCTAAGATTAACATTCCAATTGCCACATAGTTCGTCAGACAATTTTGCTTAAGAACATGGTACGGCTTGAGAACTCAAAGGTTGTACAACGACGTTCTTCGTCATATCACCCACTGACCATGCTCGTTCACCAAAATATATCTAGATAAGAAACCAGCTCACCTGCCTAAATAGGTACCTGTACTAACTGAACACTCAGAAAGGTACAAGCATCGATCGAATAAGAACAAACCAGAACACACGTGCTTTACAATACAGCGAATTCCTTCTGGACTTGCCCAACTTGGCGGGAATTACATCTGCAGTATCATGTACACGATCCTATTTTGAAGCTTATAGTCTCTATCTATCTAAGATCACAATTTATGTATTCAGTAAAAAAATAAAAATTCATATGGCAAGATCGGTGGGCGAGTCTCTAAAACGGCGAGTTATCATTACAACTTCCAGCGACCAGATACTTGCATCTCAAATCTTCTGAAACTGTTCATAATTGGGAGACAACACAAGCTATTGTACTTCATTTTCTGTGGATTGCGTGCCAGCAGATGGACTAGCTGCAGAGTACACTAACCGCCTGCCTCTGCCTCTCAGCCAATTCAGTGGGGATGATTTCTTTGAATGCGGTGACTTACCGACGGAGCTGCCATCAGAGGAGGTCGGAGGGACGGTCACATCTACCGAGACTTCCCACACCTTATCCTTTCTCGATGCAGCTACAAATTCCTGTATTCCAGCATTCCCCGACACAGGAGTCGATTGCAATGAAGAAGCCTCCACTCTTTCCTCGCTGGGAAATAGCCTGAGAGAAAGTGATCCTTCTTGCGAAGCTTCAGCCCCTCCATCCAGCGCCCGATCATCGGCTCCAGAAATCTCCATTTCCTTCTGCTCAGCCGGAGCGTAGGCATATGAACCTGAACATTTGACCTTGGATAAAACCTGTATTTCTTCATGCTCTTCACAATCCTCATGGTCAATGGTAACAACCTGCTGCGAGTTGGTCCCAGTAACCTCCTCCTGTTGAGAGTTAGGGGAGACACTTTGGAATCCAAATGTCAACGGCGACGAACGCCATTCTGGACTCGGAGTCATAATCTCCCTAACTCTGGACAAGCTAGTAGGAGTGTCTAACCCTCGACTCGCCCAGAACGTATCTTCCTTGCCTGGCGTGTGGCTTCCATTTACAAGCTCAGGTATATTGTCCGAATGAGCGCTTCTGTGGGTTGGTTTGGCAGGTGGCCAGTCTTGAGCGTGGCCTGACACAGGCGTTAGCTCCATTGCAAGCTCCAAACTGGAGAAATCCACCACGTACTCATACGAACCCATAGAGTAGGATCTCGGCATTCTAGAAGTGCCCACATCACGAGTGATTCTCCTGGAATCGGTGTTCACCTTTCCCAACTCTACCCTCAACAATTTCTCAGAGCCGTCTGGTTCAGTAACGGAGACAGTGGGTCCAGGAGTCATTGGGGGTGTTTGAATCTCTGTCACTGAAGGGTTTGGCACAGATGGTGCAACTTCCCTCACAGATGGTGGGGGTGGCGCCGGTGGCAGCGGTGCAACGACATCCGTGATGAAGCGAAAACTGCCTCGAAGACTCGCTCGGAAACTCCCTCGAAAACTACCATGGGAGGGTTGCGGCTGACTGTTTCCTTGCTCTTCGTGCAAGCCTACGGCAGTGCACTCCCTGTTACTCTCTGAGGGTGGAGAAACGGGTTCCGCTTCAGGAAGAAGGCTCCTTCGACATAAAGGACATGTCGAATTCGACAACAGCCATGTGTCAATGCACTCCATGTGGAACGCATGTTTGCATTTGGGTAGGAGTCGCAGCTTATCCTCATTGGCGAATTCGTTTAAGCAAACTGCACAATCTGCGCTATCTTTGAGACCTCTGATAGACCCATACAAGAATACGGGGAGTGTGTCGATGAAAACCTGCTCCACGCCAGAATCATGCATGGAAAAGAGATGCTGCAGCTGACCGCGGATGGAGTTGCCGGGACTATGGAGTTCGCCTGCGGGCGCCCTCGTCCGTCGCCTTCCCAAGCATCGAGCGAGAATATGGAGTACACCGGAGCAAAAGAATACAACACTTAAGATAATGACTATCACTAGGACACTAGGGTTGATGTGGGGTTTGCTAGGGCTTAGTTGTTGCAATTGTCGCATCTGCGAAGGGGGAGGATGATGACTTAGTAGGGGCGAAGGAGGAAAGGATTGTTCTCGTGCAACCCCTAAATACAGAGCAGACATCCTCACCTCTTGCTAGTTCGGCCCTAATTTAGAACGATGCGATTAATGCTCTCGATATGAGACACAAAGTTGCGGATACTGAAAACGTCAGTATGTAGAAGTAGGTACGTGAGAGGAAGAGGAGACTTGAGATCAAGAGTACGAGTATATCTGCAGAAGAAGACGCAGCACTCTAACCTATAGTTTAATCTTCACAATGTTCTCCTGCGTAGAGGGAAAATGGATAAATAAAATCTGCACAGCAAGCAAAGTCCCAAGCATCGAGTGTCTCATCCTGCAATTGCAATTGCGCGGCAGACTTACGAACTGATACCCAGCCTCGCATCCCTCATGCTCGCAATGGCTCCCAATATGCTCTTTCGCACGTCCATAGAACTGTGTAAGTCCCCTCGTCTACTAAGCTCATCGCCCACCTCTCTGTGTCCTGAAGATACTCTACCGACGATGTCCAACCTGCCCACAGCCATTATTCTCCCGTAAAACTACATTGCCCCTTAACCTTCAACTCTAATTATCAATTATTTCACCCCAAACGCCCTAATCGAGTGCCTTTCCCTCAAGTCCGCCCGCCTTCCGTCCGCTGCCCACATCGGGTTAGCATTCCCCATCCTTTTCCTGCGCCGCAATAGCTGCTACAGCCACAGCAAGTCTAAAAGCATCCAAAAAAACAAAAAAAAAAACGTCTGACGGCAATCGCAATGACCTGGAAGCTCAAAAATTGACTTCTCACTATTCGTCACGAAATTCGGCGCCCACCATGGAAGCCCCTACTGTCTTCAAAGAGGGAAGAAAGGAAGAAAACTGACAGGACGGCATGAGTTGACTCTCCTCGACCCTCCGCTCCGACAAAAAACATCGAAGCATCATATCACAGCCATTATCCCCACTTTCACTCTTATTTCCCCCGTAGACAGTCCCACCGAATTCGACACTCGCCCCCAAAGTCATGCAAAGACACTGTTCCCCCCACACCCACTAAGCTATCGCCACTACTTCCGTCTCCTCAGAGTTTAACCTCTACCTATTTTTCTCAAAAGCAAACCCTGCCCCTTAGAGCAATAACATCATTACGCGCACATCAACACCGAACCTAAGCAGACTCAAGGCCTAGGAATTGATGCAAGCAGCAACGGGTGTAGAGTGCGATATTGTCTACTCTGCCGCCACGGAACATGCAAACTACACTTTTAAGACCAGGAGACATTAGTGCTCCGCCTAGTTACAAAGACTCGCACCTGCATGTAGGTGGACAGCTCGAAACGCACTGACACCAACTTCCTAAATGCAGAAAGACGAAGTTGTAAAAATGGAAAATGCTAAAATGAAAAGACGCAAAATAGGGTAAGAAATGACGCTGTAACGGTGGATCAGTAGACAACAACGACATCAGGACAATGTAGGCTTCGCCCTCATCTTGCCAGCTCTCTCTCTCTCTCTCTACATTTATATATATATTTCCTCTGCCAGTGACGAAATTATACTAGCAATCCTCAAGCTTTACACCCACCAGTTCCCTGAAACAAGACTAGTGATAGATAGAGCAGTCTGTCCCATGCTGTCAATTGTGTTCCTGTCCTGCACATCATGAGGATTGTACATCCTGTGCTGTTCGGCCAAGTCAACGAAAGGCTTTCACGAAATTTGTGAAAGTCTCCTCTCTTGCAAGTCTCTTAGTTGTTGAAGAGTCTGGCAAAGTTGGTGCCTCATTAGCAGCGCCCTTGAAGATGGCTCACCTATGCTTGTGTCTTACCGCTATTGCTTTCTACACTGAAACTCATGTCTTCATGTGGTTTTCAGAGGATTATCAAGGAATGCGAGTGAAATTGCATTTTAGTACGGGCAACAAACATACCAAGTACCTGAGCAAAAGAATGGACACACTATCACGTTCTTTAATGAGAAAACAAAGTTTTAAAACTCCTTTCTGAAGCAGTTTGGAAACTTATAATTTTTACTCGCAAAAGGTTATGAAGGATTCCACATCATCCGATATGCAATAATCATCTCACTGTAGAAATTTGCAGTCAAGAGCCAACTTGAATTATCACAAAAAAAAATTAAAAAATTAAAAAAAATGTATCTACAGTGACAGGATTAACAATATCCTGTTAACTCGAGTTTTACTTCAGCTGTCTGAGAGTGGACATAAAATAACTGAAAGGCACTGAATATCGAAGTGGTAGCACCTGTAATGGGATCTTATATAGAACAGCTGGAAAAATCGAACGGACTGGCACTTGCATTGAGTTTTTATGTGTGCAATTGAGATCTCTTCACTGCGCATTGAGAAGTTTGTTGGAAGTTATTTGGACTGTGGTGGCGGTTTCAAACCTTGAATGGCTGCAGAATGAATGAAAATGAAGAGTACATTTAAGGAGGCACGCTTAGGGCAAGGAAAGATTGTCATACCATTCATGTGAGATGAATGCGAGTGGACAAGTCCACTGGGGACCTAGAGGCTCATGTGGTGTGCAGGGGATGATGTCAGAGCCCAAGTCTTGAATGTTTTCTGCCAAGAGTCATCAACTGCCATTAGGTTCGTTTGCACTGAATCTCTCAGATCTTCTTCATATCACTTCTGGGTCTGGACTGGCTTCACTACCAACAGCTACTTGTGATGGAAACTGGTTTTGTTTGCGTGGATAGCTTTCATTCTGTTTGGGTTGCAGTATGAATGGAAATGATATCCTTGGGTGAAAGTATATTCGGTAAGATCAGTACTGCACTGCAGACTCAAATAAATACTAGCCTGATCCACGATACACTATGCAAGTAGTGAGAATTTTCCAGGTGACCACGTCTAATGATGCACTGGATTAATATACCTGTTTCACGGAGTACTGTCTGCACCTGATGTAAAGAGAGAATCCAAGACAGTAACTTCTAAGAACCTGACGATCATTCAAACCCATCTGCATCATCTCCCGGACCAAACAACGAATTTATCATTTAATTGTAACACATCGTGACCAAAGAATGTAAGTACCCAGTTCTATACAAAGACTTCCCAGCCTTGAACACGAATGGTACGCCATCCAGGCGAGTACAGACGCAACGCCGCGCCCGTGACAAGAGGTGTATGCGTTTTGTCTGCAGATAGGAACAAAATTCAGGTGATCATGCGACTAAAGCACTAACAGTCAGAGAACTTTTCTGGAACATAAACTGGTGAGCCTTCAGAAACAGCGTTTTAATCCGACACTTGCAATTGAAATCACTTGCTGATTTAGATGCAACTTTCTAGACGCGAACATGTGATTATTCGAGGATTTGTAGATGTTTGTAAGAGCAAATGCTGGCAAATTCAATAGCTGCCAGGGCCGACTTGAGGGACCTTGATGGACACTTAGTTGCGCACTCCCATTCGATATATTTAACTAGGTGCCGTGCCCGACTGTCAGTCCGTGACGTTTACAATAGATTTTTTTTCCGCTGCGCACAGCTGTAATTTGCAACATCGATGACACCGTAGCGCTGGATTGATACAGCACAGATAATTTCTGATTAGCAGGTGCTTGTTACAATCGATCATTAGAAGTGGGTATCGGTATTTAGCTCATTCTACATGAATAAGATTACGGTTGTAACCGCTCAGATTTTGCGTCCCATGAGATGCAACTATTTGAGAAGCAATCAAATAGAGATGGAACACAACTCAAGCAGTGCACAGCATGCATACCACACATCTGATCACAAATCGAAATTTGACAGGCATGAAATTAAAGGAATATTTAGCATCAAATTGGTAGTATAATTGAAGACTAATTTGAGGCGAAAAACTAAGCCTTCAATATAGCCTCAAATTGATGCCTCTAATTTTTCGCCTCAAATTAGTAGCATAAAATTAGTAGAAACAGTATTGCTATCCATGTGATGTGAGGACGTGTTTTTAGAAAGGTACGTCAAACTATTTCAGTCCTTCAATACACCATGCTCTAAAAGCTTTTTTTTCATTCCATCAGCCACTGATGCCACAAAAGACCACGCTGAATCTTGGATGGATCTACACTAAGCCTTCAATAATGTTATTACTCATGCTATGGCGCCCAGTGGCAGCAATAAAAGATGAAACTTTTTATTGAACTTTACATTATGCCAAGTTGCCAATGTTTCCCACTGGGTACTAAGTCTCAAAAACTTACGCGAAGGATTAACAGAAACATTGCATCATGGTTGTAAGAATGCATCTTGGTGCCCACTGTGAAAGGGGAGGCAACTATAATAATTGATCTATAATATGGAAAAAGGAGAATTGAGCAAGCTGTACAATCTACTGAGTATCGCACAGTTGTGTGCATGCTGAGTAGCAGAGTGACCAAGACAACCTACCTGTCATGCACGTGCGGGCTGGCTTCGGCTTTACATCAAGTCCTCCAATAAGGGTTGTTTGTGTTCTAGGGGGGCGAAGTACCTGTTACATCACCATCATCACACCTTTCATTCACAAGTTATGGGAATGAACACAACCATGTTGGCAAAATAAATAAAATGATGCGTAGTGACCAAATGGTTGAAACCATGCCATTAGAAAACAGTTCATCCTTAACAAGACTACCAAGCCTCTGTAAGTTAGGACGAGTTTCAGATCACTACATCTGGTGACCCCAGATTCCAATTACAATACTCTCAGGCTGGCAAAGGATCATACGGACAGGAGAAGCATACATTTGCTCAGAAGAAAAGAGGAGGGTTTGTCAAGCTTCCGGACCCAACCTTCCTCGATTGCTCAATATTTCATCCAAATTGTCTCTATCCAACACCTGCAAGAAGATTTTTAGAAAAGAAAAAGACAGTGGTCCTTCAAGATAGCTATTCAATCGTGCCAACTCACGGCGATTGAATAGCTATCTTGGAGTGCTATTTTCGGTTGGGAATCGAAAATCCATCGGAGCTGTCTTGATGTCATCTACCCTGATAAATTCCATATGGCTCCCAATTAAGATTGAAGTGCAATTGAATATGAACAGTAGCAGGGCACCCAGAAACATCATCCATAATAATTGAAAGAGCGGATTCTCTTCGCTTATACATCATTCAGGGCATTCAAGAGCAGTAGAATTTACTGTGATCTTCAACTTCTCTTCCTGTTCGTCAGCTTCTTCTGTCCCTTCCTGCAACCACAAATCACGATACTTTAGTCGCCCGAACTTTGTTGATTTGAAAGGCAACACGAACACCAAAATACTGGCCAGCAGGCAGAAAATAGTAAGTATAACTTCTCCTACTGATTCATACATTAGTATATTATTGACTAAGCACTCTTAAAAGGATTCGCAGAAGTAAAAGATTGATGAAACTCTCTCATGAACAAAAAGGGAATTTTTTTGCTAACGGCTAGATTGTAAAACATTCTATTTTGCATCAATAAAACAAACCCTGGAGACTGAAATTGACAAAAATCATGCAATGAAAACTCTCACAAAGAAAAATACATATAGGGATGTCTCAACAAAAAAAAAAAAAAAAAAAAAAAAAAAAACAGTCACTTAACATGATTATAACACATTCAAGGACAACTATCCTGGCACCACACGTACACGAGGGTCTGACTACAGTAGATCGGATCACGAAACTCTAATTTCCACGAGAACCTGAAGAGACACAGCTATGTGAGACCAAGATGTTCCAAGCAAAAGAAATGAGACACAAATTTCGAACGACGAAATTAATAACTGCAGCCCATTTCTCTCCTTAAGCGGACAGAAGTACAAGAACACTTCAATTCGAGCTGGAACAAAACGGCGATCATGTTGCTGAATAATGACCGTGAAACCCATTGTCAAAAGCCGTAGAGCAAACAACACAGAGACACAAGAATAGTTTCCACCTTGAATTTGATGCTGTCCGTCTCTAATTTTGCTCCTCATCAACCTGATCTTCAGATCCATCATTTCAAAACCCCATACCGACTCCACGGTCATTGTAATAAAGTAAGTGCAGGCCAGAATCTCAGCCACAGCCCTAAATCTGACCATCTCACTCGAAACCGAGACACAGCCTTGAGGTAAGAGATCAAATTTACCAGATGCTCCTGCACTTGGTCCGGCTTATTCTCGCGGATCTGCTCCACGGCGGTGCTGTTGTAGCCCATGATTGCCGATCTGATCTCCACCACAATCCGCTCCCTGCCTGGGCGAAGAATTCAGCAACGACAACACACAGAAGACTTGAGAAAATGTGGCGAGAAAGTGAGAAAAGATGGAGGCGGGAGTCCTGGAATTGACTTTCCACGTATATCGGTCCAGCTCGACATTGGTAAGGCAACTCAATCCGACGTGGTCATTGGGGTCTCAGAAGACCGTTTTCCCGCCTTTCTTGTCGATGCTAATTTCGATGTAGCGTCGGAAGCTATGGCAGCCTTCCCTCACCACAAAGGGCTCGCCAGGACAGCATTCTGATTTGTTGAAATGGGTTTGTGCTGATAGGCGGCATTCCATGTGGGCGTCGATGTAGTGGAAGGTGCTGGTTTCTTACGAGACTGTGGTATAGATTGCAGAGCTTTGCCCCTGCGGTGAAGAGTATTCGTTGCGGGTGGAGGTTTGCAGCGTGGATATGCCGGAGCTGGACTCGTGGGATCTGGCGAAGGGCCATACCATCTCCCAAGATGGTGATCTTCGAGTATTTCGATACTCGGAGTTTTCGGAGTGTGCCAGCCCTCCTTGCAATACCGCAGGTGAGTCCCGTGAGTCTTTTCTTTGTGATTAGTAGTTGTTGTACTTTTTGTCGTTTGTTACTTCTTGCAGTGACATTTTGTAGGTAGAGGACCATTTAGTGAGCACAAACCGGGAGTTAGCCCTTAGCATTTCTGTCCGAAGCTTGGGTAAGAATTCGACAATGTTGAGCCTCAATTTCAATTTGTTCTTCCTTAGTGATAGACGAAGTGATATTATGTCAATGTCACTGCTTAGCGCACGGATTATCATAGTTTGGTTGTAGATAGTGCTAGTACTGCAACTGGCGCAGTATTAACACTCCGGTTTAGACTGAGACAAGGATTAGAGTGGCTTGAGCCAATACTCATCACTCCTGCGAATCTTTTGTGCGTAAGTGGCAACGGTTGTTACAACTTTTGTTCCTTGCGGACGCATCGAGCACTAACTGTATCTACGAATACATCTCAAATTGCAGAGCCAGAATGCCTTCCGTCGCAGTTCCACTTGTCCGAATCCTTGGCGGTGTCACCTCTTCTGGAATCTCAAGGCCCTAATCTCGAGCTGAATGATGGTTTTGTCAGAGAAGCCTCTACAGACTTGCCCTGTTCAATGAAGAATGTGGATCAACTTGACGAGGGCGAGAGATACGCCTTAAACTGTGACGGACATGAACAACCTGAATCAACTTGCTCTGGGAGCCTTGGACTTCCTCTCTTTGATGAGCCTCGTGACTCGAAAGCATGGGAAAGCAACCGTCGGCGCATTTATTGTGATCCTCGTCTCCTTGAAGAGGAGACACAGGTATCAGATTTCGCTGAGTTAGTGTCAGCGCAGCAAGATTCACATCGACTGTCTCACATTCTATATTCACAGACAGCTTCTCAGCAACACGATAAGAGTGAGCCACTATTAGTTGTAATAAAGCAAGAATGTTGTAAAACAGTTCGAGATTTTGGTGATATTATCCAGAGATGGCATAGCAGGAAAAAGTCGGCCTTTAGTTTGAGCTCTTCAACGATTGGGTCTCCCCTAGAGATAAAACAAGAATCCGTGGAGCCAAGTACTGCATATATAGATCCATTGGAGTCAGGGAATGCAGACCCTTTAACGGCAACTAAGCAGAAGCCCTCTGAAGCAGTTTTGTTTGATGATATAGTGCAGAGGTGGCATAACAGGAAAAGGATATCTCTACCTGCAGTCACTGACCCAAGGTCTTCTCCGGACACCGGTATCCATAAGAAGCTGAAACCGACATCAGAGAAAACAGTTGAATTGGGTACGTTAGAACTAAGACAGCTTCAAGATCAGCCTATGGAGTCTTCCACAATAATTGAACAGGAGAACTGTAGTATATTAGGGGATGAATGTGATGGACCGCTTCCAGATGTGCTCGCTCCCGGCAGCGACTCTGAGACAACCGAAGAGGACATTGATGGTAATACCGATGGGATTCTCACAGATGACTGTTGTGATTCAAGCCTTTCCCAAAGAAGATTAACTTATTCATGTTCTAAAGATATGAAGAGTTTCTGGCAACCAGAAAGTGCGAAGAATCATGAGGTAGAACGGAAGTTTTCCTGTCCAAGAAAATATCGACCAGGAGGAAGGCAGCGCACCATAGACACATGGATTAAGTAGAATAATTCACTTCCGTCGTGGTTTAGCTTTCTTGACTCACTATGGAATGTGTGTGGATATTGTTTCAGATTTCTAGTCAATGTGGATCATACTTCTTCCAAACTACACATTTTTGTCAGCGAAAAGAAATAAAATTGAGCTTGAGCATGTCTTGTGTAGCAAACGTATGAGGCTTTTGTAGAATTGTGATTCATTGAAGTATTTGATCGATCTCAAGCTCTTCAAGGTCCCAGAACTTGACCTTTACCAAGTGAAGCTTTTATGCGCAGTGCGTCCTGGGATGCAGTTTGCAGCCTTGACAGCATCATCACCGCTGACTGTTCTCCTGCCATTCAGGATGAAATTCTGTTTTTACAGAAAGGTACTGCAGCAATTACTTGTAGAATTCTATAAGCAATACATACTAAATAATTCTATAATTCAATAAGTGTTACAGTTTTAATAAATTATTATTACAATTCTATAAGCAATACATTTTAATTGTTGAAATTGAAAATGCAATAATTATTACATTAAATCTGCACAGAAACATAATCTTAGGTTTCTACTAAGAATCACAAACTGACTTTAAATGGGTTACAAGTGGAAAGCATCACATAAAATCATGGTAAACAATGTTTTTAAAAGAGATTGTCTTATTCAGGAATTGAATTGACCAACCCTACATTCTAATTATCTTTTGCAATACATGTAAATATATATAAAACTTTAAAGTACTAAAAGCATTTTTAAAGAAAAAGAAAAACCATACATTGACGAAAAGTCACATGTGATTTTTTATTGGGTACTAATCATATATGTCTAAAAATTAAAAATTAAAAAGATTGTTTAAAAAATGTGTGCGTTTAACGCAAGACACTGTCTGTTCATCTTCCCAAGGAAATGCATTATGTTGGAAGATTCCAAAAATATTGCAATTAACTGACTTTGGGAAAAAACAAGGACATAGCAAGAAAGATATTCAGGCAGCATTTTGAGAATAGAATAAAGAGACAATTGTTGTTCGTGATGTAGCATGTTTGTTATTATTACAGAGACAATTTTATATCTCTCAAAATTATAGATGTATATATGTATATGTATATGTATATATTAAACACATACATCCTGTGACGAAGACAGGATTCCATGCGCAACACATAATTGCTTTATCCTCCAACATCGTAAAATGTTACCTGAAAAGCTAACTGTTGCTTGAAATAAGAAAAATCTTCCATAACCCTGGAATTTTATTCAAGTGGTACTGAATAGACCAGATAGTAACAACCAGTAATCAAAAGCGGGGTAATATAAGGAGCTAACCAGTGATCGTCATGACACTAGTAAATCCCTCTACTCAGGGGGGTGCCGAACGCCAAGGAAAGCCATTGAAGCAAAGCTGCAGTAACAGACTCTTCAACATCAGGAACTAGGTGTTCATACATTCTAACTGGTGCACAAAACATAAAGCACTAAGAAAAAGATCCTCACGACATCTTCATCCAGCCCGAAGAAAAGACGATACTTCTTTGCGACCGATTTCTGGGCAGCGAGAGACTTTCCATACACTCATAATTTAGCTAGGTGTGAGCTTGCTCTTCCAAGCCCCGTTCTTCCAACTCGTCCAAACTCGTGGAAAAAAATGTGCCGCAACAGATCTCTCTGTTAACGCCACTGCAATGACCGACTCTTCCTACTATGCTTCACAACCACTGCTCATGCAGTCAACACGTATGCTCAAGTGAAAATCTTCAATTTGGAAATATGCAGCGATCCCAAATCTTATATTGAAGACTTCTAAACAATGAGATGCTCTACGCTCATTCCAGTTTTTGCAGTCCTTGGTAGTAGTCCACCAACACTTGCCACCCTCCTGGGCACATGAACCCATCTGGTGGCAACTCGTTGCTCTTTGCGAAGTTGCGCATCTACGTAGGCATTGCACAAGCCGAAGGAAAATGTTTAGAACTTTTAACTTCCAAAGAAAGAAGGGAATAAAGACACGGAGCAGAGAAAATACTTGAAGCAAGTACCACACACCTTAGTTCCAGAAATAAAGAGAAAATCTTGCGCCCTAGATGGATCGAAGAATGCCATCTGACTCTGTGTCTTATCGTAAGCTGCAACCTGTTCAGTCAAAGCGTGTCAGAAACTCAAACCACTTATAGGATTCCACTAGCAGCTGATAGTCACGCTTCCCATCCAGGGCGTAGCCCTCGAGACAGAGATGTATTCGTGCAGGAAGGGGTGCGCAAGGATGAGTACTTGTTTTGATTCTTTGAATGAATAGAAAGTCCAACACCAATGAGAAGAAAATAATTATGTACAGTTGCTGCCACGACTACACATTCTGCGAACGACTTAAGGGCATTGCCGAGAGCTTGAGAGCAATAACACGAGAAAGTGTCCGTAAACCATTGCTTTCAGGTGGACCAAGTACTCCTCCGACCGCCCATAGGTACTTAACCACGAGAACATTCATCAGGTGCAGGTTGTCAGTCTGGAAGTACCCTGAAGGGCAAGATGTTGAGCTTCTCAAGGCCAGGCGCCATGCTGAGCACCATCTTCCCATGGTTTGCGTCGTACAAGTCGCGCCCAGCAGTGGGATGGCCCATGCCAGCGGGATCCCTCCCAACAATGTAGAAGTCAGCGCCTGCATTGATGCGAGCCTTGGCGTGCCATTGCACCTCCGTTGGTCCAGCGTAGTGCATAGGAGACGGGAAGATAGCCACCACAGTGGTCGCAGGGTCTAGCACTCCGGCTGCAAGGACCTGCAATATGATTGCTGCGTCAGAACAGTGTTGTACCCAGCTCAGGAAAGCATTACAGCAGTTATGACTTAAAATTCGCAAGCTCAATTTCGCTGAGTAAGGTATCGTAACACACGTAGAACTAAAGGATAATCATAAGACCTAGTAGATGGATTAAAAACCTCATCGTGTTGCTTCATTCTCCATTCTAGAGGAACGTCGTCAGCCTTCGTGTAACCCCCCAGAGGGTGCAGCAGCAGAATAGGGTTTTTGTAGCCCATTTCTAGCAACCGGCGTCTTGTGTCAGTCATCAGTAATGCGTGTCCGTTGTGAACAGGGTTACGCAGCTGGAATGCAAACACAGCATCGGCCTGCTCCCGCAAAGTAGATGTCAATCATCTGGTTCCGAGAAGCAAATTAAGCATATAAACGATGACTAAAAACGAACAAATTCGAACCACTACAAGTATGCAAGTACTCGAAGGAAAACACCGTCAAGAATAAATAATTCAGCTATTCAGTATGAAAGTTTTGATCCATAATAATGTGCAAAAAACTCATTTTAGCGGGCAGCAGACTCGTTGAAACTACCTCCCGCCTTTCAAACTCAGCACGCAGCTCTGCTGGCGACAATCTGTAGTGATCAAGTCCGTCATTGTACTTAATTCTCTCCAGAACCTCCAGATCCCCACCAATGAGCCAGTTCCCAGCATTTGCAATTGCTTCATCCACGTAAGGTAGACCTGGAGCTGTGGTTCCCCAAGTGCGAGCAATCCGCTCTTCCTTGTTGTGCTTGTAAATCTCAATACTGATTACAGCGAACCGCCTCAATTAGCTATAAGGAAAGTTTTCAAATCAGCTAGCCAAATTTAGCACTCAAAGAAAGTCATGCCAAATGCTGCAACCTACACTGGCATAGATCGCAAAGTCAAAGCTACGAAAAGAGCTCTCAAGCTTCTAAACATCACCTTCGCTCTCAAGTTCTCGTTACTTGCCAAACCATACCGATCGAAGGGTATCCAGAATGTTGAAATCCAAGGACAAACAAGAAAATTCAATCCAGTGACATACTTGCGAAGGATAGCAACATCATTGCCATCCGGGCCAACAAGAGTGACAGCGTTGACGCCGGACAAGCTCTGTTTCTTCTCGTCGTCGATGGCCAGGACAATGGGGAGGGACATATTGGTGAAGGTACCATCAGGTAGGCGAAGGCAGTTGAAATGTAGAGATTGAAGGTACTCATTCTGACGCATGAAACCGGTGAGAGGCGATGCCCATCCCTCTGCGACAGTGTGCACCCACTGCAAGTCCACCAATACCAGCTGAATTTTGGGCAATGTCGCAGCTTCAGCCTTCTTGCTATCCTTCTCCTGCTCCGACACATGCAAGTCGACCAGGACGCCACCATCAGGCTCGATGAGTCCACCGGTGCGGGGGGCGGTCGCCATGGAGGCCGCACTGGTAGCAGCAGAAGAGTTGATGGCGAGCTTGGCAGAAGCAAAGCGCTGCCGGCTCTGCGACTTGGTCGACAAAGGCGAGATGAAGAAAGGAGTTGTCAGCGAGGGGGCGGCACTCAGACGCTTGTCACTTGAAACAGCAGACTGCTTCGTGGGTGTGGTAGCTACAGGAGCAGCTCTCACAAATGATGCCGCTGTTGCATCCATCACAATAATCGCCTCGTTCCCTGCCCCACTCTCCTCACTCAGCCCGCTCAATCACTTCTTGGCTGACTGTGTCCAAATCCGTACCCAAAACCCACTCAGTCAGTCCCAAACAGACATTCAAAGAACCGTCTCCCTTACAACTGACTACTCTACTGCCAACCCCCAACAAATCCCTGCCTCGGTAGCTCAAACAAAGACATTCCACAGCAAAACCCACGCTCCAAACCCAGAATATACTTTACCCTAAAGTGCTCGCCACAAACCATCAAACACCTACACCAGAATCGAAACCACGATTAAAAAAACAGGGCTACAACAGAGGGGAAGGCGCGAGGTTGAAGAACACCCACCCGGCAATTCGGAAGAAGTTGACGATGTGGGAGTAAGAAAGACACGACGAAACGAGACCGAGGTGCCCACATTCGCAATGGGACGCTGCGAGGTATGGACATGCGACGCCACACAGATCGCTCCAGATGTCACTCTCTCCCCCGCGTCACCGATTCCTGTGCTGATGCTGTGACCAGCGCTTCCCTTTCACTCATGTCCTCCTCCCGCACACACTCTCTCTCTCGGTGAACTACAATTACGGAAACCCTTACTCCATGTCCCATATCACCCTGCCTGCCTGCGCCGTGTGAAATTAATTCCCTATGCCTGCTCCCCACTTTCTATGACATAGCGATCTATCGACAACGCGCATATTCCCCCCATGAACATGCGAGAGATGTTTCGACAAATTGCTCTTTTCCTCCATCCCTCCCACCCCCTTCTGTTCACCTTCATTGTCCCCCTTTTACCATTTGCACTTCCATAACTCCCGAACATCTTCCTCCAAAATCAAACGCCAACGAAGATTCTTCTCTCTCTCTCTCTCTCTCTCTCTCCCTCTCTCTACCTCTCCCTCTCTCCCTCCCTCTCTCTACCTCTCCCTCTCTCCCTCCCTCTCTCTCCCTCCCTCTATCTCTCTCGCTCTTTGTTTCAGCCATCTTCACTTTCAACTGAAAGTTACAATTGTTGCGTAATGAAAGATGTTGGGTAAGGACGCGCATGAGTTAGTTTCCAGACTGAACGTGTGAAAACTTGCGTTGGTTCTGACTGATGTCATTTCTCCCCCCATCCCATGACCTCACCAATGAAGCCCAATCAATCATGTGGTCCCCATTCAATGAACCTGCTGCAAGATTCAAGCACATCGTGCTCTCTCTCATGAACTCACTCACCTCCTCTCTTAAGCCCTAATTTTAAAAATATCCCACTCTCCCCTCCCTCAAGCTTATTGCAGATCTCAGTTGCTTATTTTAATATGTGAGGCTGGATACAAATGACAAGCGGAAAAATAATTGTTTGGGTTATCTCATGTACCTTCCATTGTAACCATTGTAAGAATAGGGAGAAAAATAAAAATAAAGAAGAAAGATTGAAAGTAGTATGAGGCCTTTTTAATGTAGTCTATGCGCCTACTCTTTACTTCTTAGTTTCTTGCATTTGATTGTATTGTGTCATGAAATTCACAAGATGGAACGACAATCTCTTCTTCTTATTAAATATATATATATATATATATATATATATGTATTCAAAAACAAATAAAGGAACAAAGAAAAAAAAACAAATACAAATTGATGGGTAGGTATCTAGGTTTTGAACCTTCATAAATCAATACTTTGTAGTAAAGAGTACCATCATGAAGAAATATTTTAATTGTAACAAAATATATGAATTATTTTGACTAAAAACAGAACAATCAAAATTGAAGCAAGTTACAAAATTAAGATTAAAATTATTAATCAACAAATTTGTGAATACAATTATCTGATAACATTCTAGATATATATATATATATATATATATATATATAATTTTAAATATAAGAAAATGATAAAGCAACCCAAATTTTCTTAAACTTCTAAGTAAAAGATAATTTTTAAGAAGATATGGCTAAATGATATAATTTTTTAAATAATTATTGATTTTTCTTTACTAAAGTATTTAAAAAATAAAATAAAATAATTAAAAAATGTTTCAAAAAATATATAATTAATTATAAAAATTCTATTATATCTCATAATAGAAAAATATGAAATAATTTAAACTTAAAATATAATATTAAAGATATTATTAAAATTTTATTTTAAAATATAAATATAAATATAAATATATATATATTCAGAAATAATAAAATATAATTTAATAATTCATAAAATAAATTAAAATTTTACAAACATATATATATATATATATATATATATACAAAAATATACTTCTCACTTTAATCTATATTAAAGCACGTATATATACATATATATGTGTTAATACAAATTAAATTAGAAGTATGTTTTTGTATAATTTTCATCTTTCCTAAAGATCATCCATTCATCAATCTATTTGTGCTTATAAATGCCTAGACAACTTTATTTAAATCACAAACAATAACTTTTTGTATTTTAATTGTTGTTATAAAAATAAATATCTTTGATTAATATAGAGTTATTAGCAACAACTTATATGTTTTAATGAACAAGAAAATCATCAAAAATTTACTTTTAATTCATACTTAGTAATGAAACTTCTTCTTATAGTAAAAATATAAATTAATATCACTTTTAAAAACTCCACATGCTAATCTATTTGAACCTACTCTTTTAGGTATACTTTTAATTATTTAAATAATATATTTTCAAATAAAGGGATTTATTTTATTTACAATATAATTTTTTAAATTTGTATTAGTTTTATTTATTTTTATTTTCTTAGAAAATCACTTTGTAAGACTTTTATTTTCACAAGTAGTAGATTTTATCATAGCTTTTGTATCTTACTGTGTATCATGGATATAAATACGTACTTTAGTAAATACCTATATAATTAAGTAGAAGTAAGTAATAATAGATAAAAGTAGATTAATTTCATAATACCTTCTAAAGAAGCTTCCTAGAAGCTATATACACACTATTGTGACTTTATATGTATTTGTAATTGATTAATAGGTTAGAAACTTGGTCAACAAGTTAACCACATATTGATATCTTATGAAACAAGCTAACTATGTGGCACACATATAGAAAACTTACCTTACAAGTTAAGATATGTATCTTGCAAAGTTAACATGTTTTAGAGGTCCTGAAGGACATTGTTACATAGCTCCTAGTTAAGAGTATATATGGAAGCAAGCATGAAGCCTTCTTCATTCTTGTTAACACCTTTCTAGTCCTTAGTCTTATTTCAAGACTTTATAGTTTTATTCTTTTTGGCAATAGCCATTCTAATTTTATATTATATCATCTTTGAGTGACTTTCTAGTTTTTTTTAATGATACAAGAGTGTATTACTGTAAAGGATAAGAACTCGATGAAAAAATTATTCAGACAAGTGAGTCTTCACTCAAAGAGAGGTAACAAAATATATATAAACAAGTATATATATTGAAAGAGAAACTGGAATGGCTATTGCCAAAAGACAAGAAAACTAGAGACCCTTGAAACTAGACTAGAAGCAAGAAAGGAGTTGACAAGAGTGAAGAAGCCTTCACTCTTGTCTCTATATATACTATCTAACTAGGGGCTCCGTGGCGACGTTCTATACGACCTCCAATATGTATTGACTTTGTAGGACACATGCCTTGACTTACAAGGCAAGTTTTTCTACGTGTGGGCCACATAGTTAGCTTGATCTTCAAGCTAACAATATGTGTGGCACATGGCCAACTTGTTGACCACGTTTCTAATCCAAAAAGTTAATTAAAGACACCTATGAAGTCAAAGCAGCCTATGAAATTTCTAGGAAGTTTTTCTATTAAATATTATAGAATTAATTTACTTTTATCTACTTTTACTTACTTCTACGTATTTCTATATGTAATTATTAGCTTACATGATTATGGCCGTGACATTACCGCCCCTTCTAGGGACGAGTTCCACGAGGAGTGGTCATCATATGTTGAGGAAATCTATGATGCGACAAATTGTATTCGCCACATACTCTGATCTCTGTTCTCTTCGAAGATGATTGATAGGGCCTCTCAACCATCGGTAGTATCCCATACCAGGGCGGGAAGACCACCCAGTTATTCGATCATTGTTGAGGCCTACGTAACTTCCTTCGAATAGAATATTTGAAACACCATCAGGAGTTGTTTCTACCTCAAGCACAATCATCATATCATGTAACTTCCCAAATCATAATATCAAACGCGATGTATCTCGCCATCTATTCCAGGAAGAACATGTCATTCTTGAAGGTCTTCATCTCGATTGCATCGTCTTGAGGTTGTGACAATCGTAATGTCTCATCCAGCAAGTCAGCAAATGAAGGCTCTTGAATTGAATCCGCTGGTTGTTGGTTCTCCATCTCCTAAGCGCCACTACTACAACGAAGCTACGAACAAGAATTGAAAATAAAATGTTATCTTGCCTAGATGTTGTTTCTTTTATAAAGAAGGTTTTCAACTTGATTTTGATGGATGTCGTCGATGAAAAGCCTCCACCGCCTTTGCTGCATTTGCAAGATTCTTTATTGGCTCCCATGTGCGTTCACTAATACCATATCCGCGCCAATAGACAAGATATTCTAATTTATTTCGGCGTCGCCTTGAATCTAAGACTTCTTCTACTTCAACTCTTCATTATTGTCCACTTCTATAGGAGGAGGTGGAGCTTGTCATCTTCTTGGTATATCCATTGTCTTGTATGGATCAAGAAGAGACATGTGGAATATTGGATGGATTTTCATTGACTCTAGTAGATGTAAACAATATGCAACGAGATTGATTTGTGCAGAAATAGAAAATGGTCCTAGCCTTTGATAGTCCAACTTGTCACAAGGATGAGTGGTCTTGATATTGCGACAAAGTAGCCATACCTTATCACCCAAGATGAATGATGGTTGTTCCTTTCGATAGAAATCCGCATTGACCTTTTATTGTTCTTGAGCCTCTTTTAACTATGCCTTCATCGTTGCATGTAGCTTTGATAAATGAATTGCCAAATCTTTCGCAACAGGATTATCAACTTTTGAAAAGTCAAAAGTATCAAGTCGTCAATGATAACCATAATTAGCAAAGAAAGGTGTTTGTTTTGTAGAAGAGTGTACTATCTATTATAAGCAAACTCTGCCAATGGCAAAAGAGTTGTCCAATCATCTTGTTGGTAATTAATGGTACATCTTCAATATTGCTCCAAAACTTGATTAACATGCTCCGTTTGTCCATTAGTTTGAGGATGGAATGTCGAAGATAGTTTTATATCCACTTTAAGAATCTTGAAAAGAGTCCGCCAAAATCTTGATACAAATTGAGTTCCTTATCTGATATAATATCCTTGGATAATCCATGATAGCGATAGATATTGTCAAGAAAGAGCTTAGCTGTTTCTTCACATGTGATAGATTTTGTACATGGTACAAAATATGCCATCTTGGTAAAACGATCTACTATCACAAATATAGAGTCATAAGAACCTGAGATTGGAAGATCCGTGATGAAGTCCATAGAAACAGAAGACAATGGTTGTTCTGAAATGGGTAATGGCTGAAGAAGTCCAAAAGGTCGATGACGAGGAGTTTTGGATCTTGAGCAAACATCACATGATTGTACAAAATCTTTAACTGCCTTCCACATTTGAGGCCACCAAAAATCCCTAGATATCAGCTCTAAAGTCTTATTATATCCAAAATGTCCTG